TCTTTGCATTTACTGAAGCCTTGTGCGCTTTTCAAAAGGGAACTGGCATCTGTGGTGAATTAACTCTGCTTGAGCGTGTGTGTGTGTGTGTGTGTGTGTGTTCTGTGTATGTGTATGTTGTGTGAATGTACATATACACTAGCACACATGTGGCATTTGCCAATAGTCAAATGAGATCAGACCTGAAAACAAAACAAAAAGCTAATTTCAATAAACAACAAGAATTGTTGCAGCTATGTTTACAATAGAGAGAATTGGGCTTTATGGAATTCTTTCTCCCTTTCTATTTTTGCTGAACATTAAAGGAAAGGAGAGAGGATAATTAAATCATTCGTATCTGTGAAAGGATTTTCTTAAAAAATTGTGAAGTCCTGATTCTCATAAAACATAAAATGAACATGTTTTAAAGATCTTAACTCATTAATTAATTAGGGTACCAGTAAGATGTAACAATTGGTTCAAAGGTGAATTTGAAGAACCACACATACATGAGTAATAAGGGATGCCGGATTTATAAATAGATGTCCAAAGGGTATATCAATAAGGCAGTAACCAACTGCTTTCCCCCGGAAACAACTTTCATTTTTGTGGATAAAGCATCATAGCACTGTTATCAGTTATTAACAATTTAAAGGGTTGTTAAATTGTTCAAAGACAGTGAAAGGCCAAATTAGCCAGAAGGTAACACCAGATAAGACACCAGGTAATGTTTTCTGATTATTATTATTATTATTATTTGCTAGTTTCAGAGTCTTTTACAATTTTTCCTGACATCTCACACAAAACTTCAGAAGAGGGATGCTTTGAGGATAGCCAAACTGTTTGATCCTGCCTGGTCCTTTAGTTCTGGTTACAGGCCACATAGAGGCTACTCAACCCATGAGCTTCTTTTCTCTTAGTGTGAAGGATTGTGGAAGTGATTGTGCTTTTAACCTCATTGTTATTAAAGCTGAACTAATATCTCAAGTAAGTAGCAAATGAGACCAATGTCCTTCAGTCTACTGGGTGCTTATGTTAATGTAGACTCCGAATAAGAATACTTTTTTCCTGTCAGTATATCTAGAAGAGTACATATTTTTAATTTTGGCATCCCAAACACAACCAACCTGGAAATTGTTATGTCAAAAGTTATTTGCAGTTTCTTGTTCTCCTACTCCCCCAATACCAAGTTAGATGTGTGGGTTTCATTTGTAAGTAGGATCTATATTTGTGAAGACAGGAATAGGAACACAGACAAACACTCTATTAAGTCTTATTTTAATGGCATAATTGGTAAAGGTGACAATTATCCAAGTTGCTTTGTATTCTTTTGATTTCTACTTAACAAACAGTAATGAAATAGCTATTAGAAATAAGATAGGCTTAATGAATGTAAACTGTAAAAATAGATGGAGCTAATATTAAGCAGAACTCTTTTATAAAGAAGACAGATTGCTCGAGAGAGCTTACTTTTCTTGTTTTAAGAAACGATCCCGCCCTCCCACCCCTGCCCCCCATCTATTAGTAAAGTTCTCTTTTGGACAGATGCCAAATGATGGGGAGGTACATGAAGCAAAAGTAAAATAACCAGGAATTCAACTGAGAACCTTCTGGGAGGTAGTCATAAAAACAAACAAGCAAACAAACATAACAGCGACAAGAAAACCACAATAAAAATCAAAAACCAAGGCAACTAAAATTGAGTATGTGAAAGACTAGGAAAGCAGAGAAATAAGTCAGATGAACTGAATCCTCTCTCACCTAACCATTTACAGTGAATGTTTTATAATAAGAACTGGTGAATTAATTTTTTTATATCTGGAGTAATCTTATTTCTTTTTCTAATATGCTGGAAAGTAATATTTCATCAGTGAAATTGATTTTTGCATGTTTAACTTTCACATTAATAGGACAAACACCTTGAATATAATTAAAAATAAGTTATTTTGTCTTCTTCCATTGACTGGTACTAATGCAAATATGGTTTTTAGCTCACAGTTGCTTTCTTGTCTTTTACTGCAAAGCTGAATTGTTGAAATGAATAAAAGCATCCTTTTTTTTCTTTTTCCATTACCCTTTATCCTTTCTATGCCCTCTTCTACCGCCATTCACCCCCCTCTGAAAAAAAATCAGTTTATCTCTGTAAGTTTTCCTCAACTCAGAACTGATTCTCAATGAGAGGCAGAGAGGGATTAAATAATTTGTCCTAGAAGATATGAGAGAGCCAGTCCTGGAAGTAGGGGATCTGGCTATGAGTAAGGTGATCCTCATTCTGAATCAGGGCATGGATAGAGTATTAATGCAAAGAGTACATTACGTAAAATGAAATGCTCACTAAGTAATAGGGATTAGCAACTATACAGAAATTTCCTTTTGGGACTCCCTACGGTGAAAATATGTATTAAAATATAATATTTAATTTTTTAAAAGCGGATGATAGGGACTATTGAAACGTGATAGTTATCCATGAATAACACTTTCTTCTTATTCCCCAAGTCACATTTTGAAGCTATTGACAAGAGTGCTCTGCTGTGATAAAGTGCAGGGTTTAAAAGGTTTTAGAGAAAACTTTACATGAATTTTGTATTATATCTATAGGTGAAAGGAAAAATGCATTCAATCAAAAGTACTAATGTGTCTAGCTCTCCAAACAATCCATTAAGGTGTTCCTCCAGCAAGTCTTGAATGATGCGTTTCTTATTCCCTATCTTATATTAGTACTAAGTGTGTTTTACTCACCACTGCATCTCTGACACCAAGCACAGTGCCTGGCATAACACACTTACTTGAATGCATGGACTTAGGGCTCTAGTTAAATTCTGGTCCTAATGCCCCATTGAATAATTTTCTGAGTAAAACAAATAATTTCTCTTGATCATAATTTTGTCCTCTGTAAAAAAGAGGGCTTTAGTAGGATTGATTTCTTAAGGTTCTCCGTGGCTTAAAAATTTTGATTCTAATATCTCAGATGGAAAATTTATGTTCACATATGGTGTTTGGTTTTGCTTTCATAATGTTTGTATATAATCTCAACAAATTATTTTCTTCCAGCACAGTGAAGAGTCATTGAGAACTTATTACATGATGGGAAATGAGAAAAAGCAGCCATTGAAGTCTAATGAAGGTAATTCACTAGAAGTATGATGAAGGTAATTCACCATGGTGAATAGATGTCATCATGAGCAATGCAAGTATTGTCACCTCAAACAATAGCCAAGAGGTGAATTTTAGGTAGCTGTGGCAAGATTTTTTCCCCTACACCACTAGAAGTTTGCAAGAAAAGCTTATAGAAAATGCTCTTCCATATTTCCAAATAAAGATAATGGAATCGATCTGTAGTATAGATTTTGGCAGAGGACTTGAGGGAATCAGTCAGAACCCATACATTCTGCTCTCTAATGTGAGGAGAATTTCCTTATAGAATTTTCTACACTGGCATGACAGGGCTGTTATTTTAAAGTTAAGTTTTCCAAATTCAGTATTCTTGGTATTTTGCAGATAAGCAGGATATGTGGTGCCATTAAGTTAGCCTGTATCAAAAATTGTTTCATGAAAAGACCAATGAGTCTTCTAGGACACATTACTTTTTTTTAGAATAAAACAGTTACCCTAAGTACTATTTCACAGAAGAATGTTAGTTTTCTGGAATATCAGATAGCATTAATAAATAGGTAGGTAAGAAGGTTAGAATAGATTTGATGGACAGGATTTCATTGTTTGGGAAATGCTGGGTTAAGCAAACAAATACTTTCCTTGGTTGTGAGTCTTCTCAGAGCTTTTAATGTGTCATTATGCTGTGTGGCTCTTTAGTGGCAGGGGTAGAAATTAGTGTACAGGTTTCCCCAAACATGTTTAAGAAATTCCCTTTTCTCCTTTAGAGTGTTCTATGGAACTTTAGCCTCATGGAACACAGTTTGATAAATTATTTACACATGATGACAGTGTAGAATTTTTTCTTGTCAGAAGTTTTAATTTAGGCAAGGCTAAGGTATTTTAAAAACGAAATTTAAAACTAGATTTGATACCAAGAGAAAATATCATTATACTTAGCTATTTAAATGATGTATTATTTTTTAATGAAGTTATATTTTGTATAATTAGTTTAATTATTCACCATAAGGTATTTTTATGTCCAGTGCTTATCTGCGATTGCTGTATAAGTATTAATTTATCCTAAGATTTAAATAACCAAATTGATAAATTATGAGTTGGATAGAATCTTAGAATTGCCTAAATTGACATGAAAGGGTTTGTTTTGAAAAATACATTTTTAATTATATAACCGAAGACACATACCACATTATAAGTATTGTTGTAGTTTATTTTTCCAAACTTTTCCGGGTGTGTAGTATGTTTTGAAGAATATAAAAATAACTATCAAATTTGTAAAAATTGACACCATGGGAAGAATTGAAAGAAATGATTATTATTTTTTGAAACAATGTTGTTTCTAGAATTCTTAAATGATATATCAACCTATGTTAACTGCAACTTCTCAGGTTTCATGATATTTACAATTAAAATAATACAATAGCAATATAGGATTAACAGTTATAATTAACTTGGAATAGATTCTCTGAAGGGTTCAAAGAGCTTTTCATAATAAATTACTAGCCTTTAATCAGCTAATTTAAAGTACTTTTAAGAATGTGACAAGTATGTTTATATCTCATAAAAAATTTAACTTATGTTAATGAACTGAGTTTGAATGATCCAGATTCACTATACCAAATCAGAGATAGGTCTGACATTCTAGTGAAAGCTTTATTTAGAAAGAGTTGAGGAATTCTTTGAGATAACAGGCTTCTGACTGTGCTATCTTGAGTGTTAAAGCTGAGTGGTTTTCCCAGAATCTTGAAGTCTTTTTCAAACTCTTTTATGAATGAATTGAATTAGAGTAAAATAAATAAGTTGTCTTTTTTGAATTTCTTAGTTTAAAAAAAATGCTGACTTGAATGTTCATAAAACTGAATTTTGCTCGTTGAAATGTTATTTCCCCTTAGGAGGCTAGCCCTGGTCCACCTCCGGGATTCTGTTCCATCCACTCACACACAGTTATGATAAGGAGAGTGAAGTGTGAGCTAAATAGGGAGGAGGCCTGGGCAAGGTCATTTCTGCCAGAACGCCAGAGATGCTAAGATCTCAAGGGTGCCATATACATAAACAGATGCTACATTAGAGAAGTAAAACAATATACATACATATAGCGAGAGGGAGTAAAAATGAGGGTCCCTATATATGAGGATGTAAAGGGTGAAACTGAAGAGGAAAAAGCAGAGGAAGAAGAAAATGAAGAAGACAAGGTGAGTGTGCAAGCACCTGCTGAAGAAGGTCATTTGTTCCTGTAAGCTGGTGATTAGAAGTTTGTCTCCTTTCCTTTTTTTCTGGACAGGTATTCTTTAAGCCTGTTATTGAAGACCTGAGCATGGAATTGGCCAGAAAATGCACCGAACTCATTAGTGATGTAAGTGGCTTAAGAAATTTTTGTCTCATTTTGCATTGTGTGTCGTAGACTATTATGCCATAGAATCATAGAGCTGGAAAGAAAACCCTGGAACCACCTATTAAAACATGGTTGTTTTCCAGATCATGGAACTGAGTCTAGAAATTTTAGGTAATTTCTCCAAGGTCACCCGTACAGAGAATTTCTGTGGGAGCAAGACTCTGTGTTCTCAATCCAGAATCCTGTTTCTTATGGATTTTGGTCATTCTGGCAATAGGAATTTCATTTAAGAAAGGAAACAAAAAAGTTAATATTCTGTACATTACTTCTTTTGTATAATCAGTGCTTTATAAAGGTTTCCTAAATTTAATCCCTTAAAGATAATCTACAGTAAAGTGAACTCACGAATTCAGAGCATATTCCTTTGAGAACCCAAAGCCTTTACAATTTGTAAATATTTAATTTTGTAATGATGTGAAATGTTTTAGAAAAATCTCTACATAAATGAATGATTTTTTAAAAAAGCATTTGGGGGCCTTTTGAGGAATATGATGAATGCAGTGGTTTTTCAAACCAAAAAAAATGCATATAATATCTATGTGCATATAATGTTGATTTCCAGTTTAGAATTTATGGATAATTGAGCTACGTGTTAAGAACCCCAGACTAGATGATAATGATGATAGTAATGAAAAGGAGCATTTTTATTGTGACTTTTTTATTAACTGGAATCAGTTTATATATTTCAAGGGAATCATAGAATTGTAGAATTCACTCATATTTATATATTTTTACAGTCAATAATTAAACTAAAATTCTAGAGGCACAGGAAAAGTATTGGTCACTAGGAATAAGAATTTAGATGATCCTCATTAAAAAAGTTGTCAGAAAATTGCCTTGTGACAAAAATTTGTCAGAAAGAGCCAAAGGATGGTGGAAAGCATACCCCTTCCCATATACTTGACATGTGACATAATTAAGTATTTCTTAGTGCCATTATTTAATAATAGTTATAAGCTACTATACGTGACAATTTGTTGTAAACTGTAATAATACCGAAATAAAAATAATAACAGCAATAGTTAAGGTTTATTGAATGCTATGTGCTAGGCATTGAAGCTTATGAGGTAGGCTGTGTTGTTTTTCCCATTTTAGAGGTGAGGAAGCAAAGGCTCAGAGAGGCTAAGTAACTCCTGGGTCACACAGGTAGGCAGTGGGGACTTAAACACAAAGCACTCTCTCTTAGCCACACTGCTGTGTTATCTCTCACTCTAGATTTCCACGCAGTTTTTCTTACCATTATTAATTTTTATACTAATATTAGTAATAGTAACACTACCAATCCTTTTATTCATTTACTAGAGGCCCGATACATGAAAATTCGTGCAAGAGTAGGCCTTCCTTCCTCCGGCTGCTGGCAGGCACCCCGGACCTGGGCTCGCTTCCATCCGGCTCCGGCTTCATTAGGAAGAACGTCCAGAATGACATCCGGCAGATGTCTGGTGTAATTAGCATATTACCCTTTCATTATTACAAATTTTTTAAAGAGGAAGTACTTTTTTAAAAATATGTTTTTATTAACTTGAGAGAGAGAGACATCCATGTGAAAGAGAAAAATCAATTGATTGCCTCTGCACACATCCCAACTGGGAATCAAACTCAAGACCTGGACATGTTCCCGGACCAGGAATCGAACCAGTGACCTTTTGATGCAACCGAGCCACACCAATCAGGGCACTACCAATGTTTTTATATGGAGCAGATGAACTTAAATTTGAAGTTATCTCTGTTATATTGTCTGCATGACTAAATGGTTGTCTAAAATGTGTATTTGAGGTTGCATTAATTACAGAACTAAAACAGATATAAAGTGGATGAGTTGACATACTGAGTTAGATGGAGTTCCAGTCAAGTTTCCATTATGCTTCTGACAGTGCCCATCTGTTAGTGTCCACATTTAATTCAGTATGCCTGTCTTTCCCTAGTCTCAAATTCGATTTAAAGACCAACCTTCAAGTCCCTTAGTTTTGTTTTCTAATTCATTATATCCCAAAGGGGAATCATGTATTTACCTGAGCCTTTTTGTTTGTTTGAAGGAAGTCTGTCTGCAGTCTCTGTCACCAAGAGAATTTGGTGTGTTACATGCCTGCTTGGTAGAGTACTACATACTGAAGCTTTAAGAAGCAACTTTACATTCTGTTGATCAAATCACATAGTTAGTGAGCCACAGACCTGGAATTTGAAACAGTCCGACTCCCAAGTCATGGCCACCATGATGTCCTTCCTCTCTTGCCCTGTGCGAGGCACTCCACGTACATTATTGTACTCTGTTATTGGTTCGATGAGCCTCAGTTCAGAGCTGGTGCAAGATTGTCTAGCTCAAGACTACCTGGCTAGTTAGGGGTGGGGACAAAATTTAGGCTTAGGTCTAGCTAAGTCCAGAGCCACTTGTCAGTCTGCTTCATGGATTATTTTACAGGTTTATCTTCATACAGTAGCCTTTCTAACTGTCTCTCTTTGGACCTCTTCTAGATCTTGAATGTCTTTATTGCGGTGTGATTAGCAGATCTGTGCACAGCAGTCCAAATATGGATGGCCTGGGGTTACTAGTATGGGCAGGGTGGGACGATCTTTCCTTTTGCTCCATGTACCCTTTGTGATGATAGTTAGGGTATCTTGGACTTGGGGTTACAGAGAGCTATTAGAACAACCTTTGTAGGACATCTTTCTCAGCCAGTTTCAATCCTAATTTCTGACTGCTTAGGGCTCATCAACTTTTCATAGTAGTTTGAATGATTTTCACCTTGCTAGGAAAGAATGTCATGTGTAGCTGTCTGCCCTCTGGCATGGCCCTTTGTGAGCTTCCCATTTCAGCTCCTTTAGTTTGACATTTCACGCTCCCTGAGAGCTTGGGGTCACCAGCAGACCTGCAGACTTGCTGTATCATGTCCTTGCCAGATAATTTATTAATATAGTAAATCAGATTGGTCTAGAGAAGCCCTGGGAGGCCTACACTGTTTAGAATTCTCCATTTTCCAGATCAGGCGGCTTCACCCTGAGGATCAGAATGAGGCATTTTTCAAGTTTTCTTTGCCCTCCCTAGTTTCTGCTTTGCACTTTCCCTGCCCATGTTGTGGGGTTTTCTTCTGCATAACTCACTTCCCAACCTAGAAGACAGCACCTGGCCTCCGAGACAGCCTTTTCTCTTCTTCTGTTAACCAAGTCATGCTTCTCATTTAGCCCCTCTCTGTTATTCAACTATCTACTCAATCCCTTGAATAAATCAAACCTATTGACTAGGTTGAGCAGTCAGAAGCATGGATCTAGAGGCCTTTTGTCACGTGGACTTAAAAATATTAGGGTAAAGGTGAGCTTTTGTATGTTTCTTATAAATTAGGCATAAAGTCTCTGCAGGGCAAGTTTGGCCACATCTGCATGAAGCCTCTGACTCGGTGTTTTGGTTGAAACCTTTTTAGGGTGATAATCTACAATGCAGCAGAAAGAACAGTTTCCAGGCAAATGAGCTTTGTGTGTTGTGGGCAAGTCCTTTCAATGCTGAAAACATTAGATTCGTGGTTTCCCCTCCAGAGAAAGCTCTGAATGTATTTAGAGAACCGAGAGAGCAGCCTTGGCTGGGAGCACCCGTTACAAATAGCAATGGAGCCCTGGTTCTTTCCTCCAGGGTTTCCTGCATTTAGCAATATGGCTCCATTTGTGAAAAGACTTTCTAGGTACTTTTGTTAAGAATGCTTGTAAAAGGAAATATCCTCAAACGTTTCTACATCTGTCATCCCCTTTCAGCCATTAGCTAATCTCATACTAAAATGAAAGAAACTGGGAGAGGAGGAGGGAGCACTACTGATGTAATTTAACTCTCATTGTGGTTGAGACATGGTGGGACTAATGGGTGAGGTCAAAGCAGAAAGTGAATATTTTGTTCATCTTAATGATCATTAAATCATCGACTTTCCCTTTTTTTCTCAGTCAGAACATAACTTGGATGCTGTATTGGTTATGAGTACAGAAGGTTGCAAGTGACAGGAAAACCCTGGCACAGGGGTTTAACAAATGGGTATTTATTTTTTTCACATGTGAAGGCTGGAGGTAGGGGGGTCCAGTTTTGGCATATTTGATGCTATTAGTTTCTCAGATTCCTTTTCTTCTGCTCTGTCAAAATTAGCATGGTGGCTTCAGGTCTTATTGTGACACCATTGTTGCTGCATCCCTGTGACTAGGGAAGGAAAAAGGTGGAAGGGTTATGTGGCAAAGGGCTATGCCAGCAAGTTTCTCCCTTTACACCAGAAACACCAGAACACTGTTGGGAAGACTCCACTAATGTCTTGAACCAGAGCTGGACACCTGGCCTTTCCAGGCCAATCACTAGCCAAGGGGACTGAGAAAACCCTGCCTGGCTTAGAGCAATTTGTACTCTGCGGCTGGGGGAGAGGTCTGGCTACTCTCATAAATACATTTGGGCTCTGTTATTAAGAAAGACAGGGGTTGGACAGCCAATCCACCTAAGAGATAGAGCCATGCTTGTCTTAGGAATATATACATGGTTGTATTAGGAAATGGCTATCTGCTCAGTGATTGTTATTTTACTGAAGAGTTTGTGTCCCTCATTGGTGCAGTTTCATCTGTCTTCTCCTTGAATAGGAAGACTACTAATATGTGACTTTTTTATATAAAAATTTAAGACAATATGCTATTGCTATTCATCTATAATAATAAAAGTGTAATATGCTAATTAGACTGACGGCTGAATGACCTTCTGGATGACCTTCCAGATGAAGCCAGGGCTCTGAGGGCCAAGCCCCTTGCACGAATTTCATGCATTGGGCCTCTAGTATTATATAGTTCATTAGAAATTAGAAGTGTGTGTGTGTGTGTGTGTGTGTGTGTGTGTGTGTGTGTTTATATCTTTTAAATAAAGGACAAAGTAAGGAATGGAGACCACACTTAATTCTGAACTATTTGCCTGCATAGCAAGGGAAGTAAGTACTTCACCCTTATCCCTGCTGCCTTCCTGAACATTCTGCTCAGGTCAGAGCTTATCAGGAAGCCCGTGGCCCTCACACATACCGCTGCAGAGAAGAATGTGGATGTGAGAGGGAAAGATGGTGGTGGAAGATAAAAATAATGAGGCAGACTTAAGCCTAATGACAGGTTATTTTCTCTCACACTTATTATATAACAGGGGTACTTTTCCCCCTCTCCCTATGATCAAAATAGCCTGCTATTTATCATACTGCCTTTAACGGTTTAATTACTAGTGATTGAGGAGGGTGATTTGCAGAGACCTAAAATTATGGCTAATCTCTGAGAAGAAAAAAAAAGTAATTTAGTGCTCAGATAAGATAAATATGTTCTAATGTTGATTTCATGAATAAAGCAAATGTTTAATGTGGTAGGCGTATAATATCTAAAAGTCACAGCAGTGAAATATGGCATTTTGAAATAACATTGCTTAGTATGTTCATATCTGGTTACAGTCAAATAATGCCCTTCAAATCAGGTTTGTATGTGGTAAAATCCCTATGTAATGTTTGTGTGTAACATCAGTATTAGTCATGTCCTTTAAGGACCAGGGAGTATATAGAATTAAACTTTACTTTTAGGCTATAATTAGGAAGACCATGGCACCTTTTTTTCAGCCTAAGTATTTATAGTGTTGGGTAGATAAACATGACTTTATTACAGGGTGATATAACTTTTAGCAAATACCTTCGTCCTCTCAACTAGTCGTAAATTTTGCCTCCCCAGTTTTCAGATTGGGCTGCAGTTAGTGTGATAGTGGGATTACATTTTAGGTCCTTCTCCATAATTCCTAACTTTTTTTTTGGCTCGTGTGTCCATGTGGGGTCTTTTCCCAGAATAGAAATTCTGGCCTCTGTCCAAGAAAAAAAAGGAGTGACTCATTTTACTAGTGAGTACAAGTGGAGAAATGAGCATGCTCAGCAAAGCCTCTCTGATCTTTTCCTTGCTCATCTGCTTATTCACAGCAAGGAGGCGTTCTGGAATAATCTCAGCCATGTGGCAAACTTTCTGGGCAGGTTCTATTTTTGTTGAGGAAGGGGTGGAGGATGGGAGGCCTATGGTGCTCATAAATTGGATAAGTTTGAGTGGAATTAATTAGTAACAGGAAACCCATGGTGACCATAATTGAAGTCCCTTCCTCTAATCCAGTGGGTCTAGGTAATGATGCTAATATAATACTAATCTTCATTTGTTTAATTTCTGCCTCTCCTTCTTAAATGGTTTCATCTGTCCTGATGACTCCTTGTTTTAAACCTAGAGGTAGGCAGCTATATTTCTGTTTGACCATAGGCTTCACTGATAAGGTCAGTGGCTTAAAAGTTACAAACTGGGCAGCAGGTATCATCATCATTGTGGGTTCAACACACGTGGTCCTTGACGATAACCGACCCTTGTTAATCTAAAGAAAAGGCTTCCTTTATTATGCCCATCATTTTGCAGTTCTGTTCTGGATACCAGTTTATTTGATTTGGCTTATTTTGAGCATCATTCCACATTTAAGTATTTACTGCAGAAAATGGACTTTCTCATGTTAATTCTTCTGTTCAGCACCAGAGCACTGAAATTGTTTTTTTGTCTCCCTCTTATGTGAATTATCCTCTCTTTTAGATCCATTATAGAGAAGAGTATAAAAAATCTAAGGACAAGTGTACATTTGTGACTGACACTCCGATGCTAAACCACGTAAAAAATATTGGTGCTTTTATTTCTGAGGTAAGGGATCAAAACCTGGCAAAAATGGCTTGCGTTTTCTTTTTATATTTATATAGATAAAAGTCTGTGCATTGAAGTTGAAGAATAATATTTTCAAAAGCACCACTGAATGTTGGTAATATATAATTTTGTAATTCTATGCACTATCAATTAACTATTGTAAATTGACATATTTTACTGGCTATGGTTGATGTGTTTTATTATGTGTCTGTGTTTTGACTCCAGACCTTTCTTATTTATATAGAATTATTATTTTCTTTTAAAAATATTTTTATTGATTTCAGAGAGGAAGGAATTCTTGATGTTCTTAATTATTCGTTTTCCTGAAGGAGTTAACTGTAGAACAAAAACATGGACGTGGGCATTCTGTTCTGTTACTTTGAACCTAATCTTCCCAAGAGGAATTGGTGAATGAATGTTTCTCTTTAAGAGTAGTGACTGAGATCACTTAGGACAGTGCAGACTGGAGGTGTGAGCGAAGAAAAAGCAAACAAGCTCCTCCCCCTTATCTTGGTAGGAGGGTAAGAAGATTTGAATAAAGGAGCTCTGTTCTTTGCATTCAGGTTCTATAGAATTTGTTTTTAAAAATATATTTTTGCCCTGACCAGTTTGGCTCAGTGGATAGAGCGTCGGCCTGTGGACTCAAGGGCCCCAGATTCGATTCCGGTCAAGGGCATGTACCTTGGTTGCAAACACAACCCCGGTGGGGAGTGTGCAGGGGGCAGCTGATCGATATTTTTCTCTCATCAATGTTTCTGGCTCTCTATCCCTCTCCCTTCCTCTCTGTAAAAAATCAATAAAATATATTTTAAAAAAATAAAAATATATTTTTATTGATTTCAGAGAGGAAGGGAGAGGGAGAGAGAGATAGAAACATCAATGATGAGAGAGTCATTGATTGGCTGCCTCTTGCATGCCCCCTAGTGGGGATTGAGCCCACAACCTGGGCATGTGCCCTTGACCGGAATCAAACCCAGGACCCTTCAGTCCGCAGGCCGACGCTCCAGCCACTAAGGGCTGCATTCGGGTTCTAGACAGGAGGACATAACAACTTGTATCTTCTGGAGCAACTCAAATGTCTCAGTGCTCTCCAGTTTTTCTTCCCTGATCAAACAGATGAAACTCTTGATAAGCACAAATAGATTTACGTTTAGAAATGCACATGGTTTAAGTAGTCATTTTTTTCTTGTGTGTCTGGTTTAAAGCTTTCTCCATGGTAAACTGGATTTGTCTTTCTTCAAAAGACGTTTGTCAGGTCCAGGATTAAAATGCTCTTCAGATTTTTATATTCTGTTTCTAAAGAAAGTTTCTTTTTATTTACTTTTAATATTCACAGTAAAAAAGAGGAATGTTTACTTATTTTTTTTATTTTTCCCCCTCCCTAGGCAAAATACAAAGGTACCACTAAGGCGGACCTCTCCAATTCTCTCTATAAGCAGATGCCAGCTACAATTGACAGTGTCTTTGCAAGAGAAGTCACGCAGCTTCAGAGTAAGGTGTGCTTTCCCTAAACTGTTACATAATTATGTAGATAAAAAAGATAACCTAATATAAATCATTCAGCATTTTAAAAAGTTGTTTATCTTGAGTACCACATCCTATATAATAAAGAGGTAATATGCAAATTGACCAGCACTCCAACACAAGATGGCCACCCCATGTGGACATAAGATGGCCAGCAGGGGAGGACAGTTGTGGGCGATCAGGCCGGCAGGGGATGGCAGTTGGGAGGGTCCAGGCTGGCAGGGGAGGGCAGTTGGGGCAACCAGGCTGGCAGGGGAGGGCAGTTGGGAGGGACAAG